TATGTGTGATTTTTAAACCCTCCTCCCTGTAGCAGTATTTTGGAGGATTTGTAGTATTTCCTTCCTATACTTTTATATACACCATCAATAAGGGCCATTCCTATCTTTTCCCACTTGGCTGTCTGATTTTAAAAAGTGAACAAGTGAAATTTCTTTTAACTCTCTGATAGATATGTGTGAAAGAGACCCGAAAAGAATTAAGAATAGTTGTTGTAATGATGTTACTTTTCCATTGAGATTTGGTACAAAAACTACCATTGCTTATGATGGTTCTGCCCTTACCATCCTTGCTATCCTATAGTTGTTTTTTTTATTCTGGCAATCAGAGTGCTCTTTTCCCCCCCATTCAAGCATTTGACAAAGGCTGGATAAATAGATGTTATGGTTACAACTGCCTAGATGTACAGATGTGCAATGACCAATGATACTTTAAAGTCTATGATCAACTATTATTTTTTACTCTATACCTGATTTTAGTTAGCAGCATCAGCCAGAAAGCTGTATCCTATATCAGAGGTCTTTCACTGTTGGAATAATGCCAGGACATTCAGTAGAGAGATGCAAAACTTGGCTCTGATTGGTAACTTAGTATTTAGCCTATGGGAAGTAGAGCCTTTTCAGAGCAATGCATTCCACGCAAAGTCATCAGTGTGTTAGCAGTGTTTGTTGGACCCAAGTATTTCTATCCAGCATTTTTCCCATCAGTGTGCATCAGCTACTGCTCTCTACATCATGCTCCTACTTACAAGTCCTATCAGGTTTCTAGTCTTTACTTTTGTCTGGAATAAGTGAATTTGCTACTTTGTTGGGATCACTTCTGGTTTTGCTTACGAGAGTTGCAATTTTAAACATCTTGGTAGATTCCAATGTTTTTGAATGTTGGTGTTAGACCAAATTTCTCTTATAGGGGTCAGTTGGCATATTCAGTATTGGTTGTCAAAGTGTTTTTCAGAGATGGAAAGATTAGGTTCTTCCTCCCCTTGAGAATAGTCAGTATGATTGCCCTTACATTCAGAGGTTTTACCAAAAAGTTTGACAACATGTATGGGAATTTTTGTGATGTTGTACTGTTAAAATTCTTATATGAAAGTCTTCATGTTCTGTTATTTTGGTTATGTACTATATAAACATTTTACATATTTACATATCACTTAATAAAAAGTATTATTTTCCTAAACTTGCTTTTTTTGTGGGAAAAATATAGAAAATAACAAAGAAAATGGCATTTTCCCTTTCCCAGTGTGTTCATAGCAGGCAAATCTTGATTTCTATTTTTCTTGTAGTTGAATTTGTTGGCTTTCCTTGTTCTTGTGCTTTTTACCCCAAGAGTTGGAATAACTCTTCCTCCATGCTGTATTTTTGGGAGTATGAAATTCTGTTCAAAAGACACCTCTAGTTTATAGTTTTGACACCTGTCCCTAAAATTTTAAAACATAAAGAAAAGTTGTAATAAAGTCTTACTTGATTTTATTGGATTGAGGTAAGCAAAGTTATCCACAATTGTACAACAATTTAAATTTTCAGCTGCCAGTCATGCTTGTCTTTTTACCATTTCTTCATCTGATGGTGCTAATCCCAATTGTCATAGATCATATAATCAAGATTTTTTGTATTTTTTAAAAAATGTACAAATACTTAGCATTTATTTTATTGTACAGCATTCTCAAAAGAAGCTATTTTACATGCTGAATGTGAGTGATGTGATTTATATGCACATGAGTTTGGTAGTTTGCATGGACTTCAATAAAAACATAGCCAGTATGTTTTATAGAAGTAGCTACCTTGAATGAGCTTTACTTAAACTTATTTTCCTCTTAGTATTCATTTAGATTTGGTTTGATCAAATTGGGTCATTTGGGCATACAATTCAATGATAAAATGCAAGGAAACTTGGATTACAAAAGAAATCTAAAAACAAAACAAAAATCAGTTAGGTATTCCCTTTTGCTTTAGTTCTGCAGTGTAAGAGAGGTTAACACAGCCAAACCCTTGGGAGGGAAAAGCCCTTAAAGAAAAAGCATAACACTTCTGGAGCAGAGAGTTTCTGATTATAATGTAAACGGACTTCACTAGATATCTGATAATTGGATAATTACATTTCCATGTGACAATTAAAATAATAATCATATTTTTATCTGGAGAGAAGTGTTGCATTTTCTTGGATTCAGAATACATTAACCTTAAAACTAAAATGCTGTTGGGAGAAGAGACATGCAGATGTGCACGCATTTTTAATATTTGGTTTTTTTTTACATAATTGTTCACTCAGGGAAGCCATTTGTTAAAAAATTTTCTGAATACAGCTAAAATCTTGATTTTTGAAGCTTGCATTTAGGGGAACTTTTTGCACTTGGGGGTTTTGTACTGAGAACTAGTTGTAAAATAAAAAGGTGGATTTCAACCACTTATTAAAGCATTGATACCCACAAGAAAGAAAGATTCCAATATTAATGATACAAATTCCACCCTTTTTATTATTACATAGCAACATAATAGCAATAGCACTTAGACTTATATACTGCTTTATAGTGCTTTATATAGCCCTCTCAGCAGTTTACAGAGTCAGCATATTGTCCCCAACAATTTGAATCCTCATTTTACCCACCTTGGAAGGATGGAAGGCTGAGTCAACCTTGAGCCTGGTGGGACTTGAACTGCCAAATTGTAGGCAGCTGGCTGCAGAAGTAGCTACTGCGCCTCAGAGGCTCCTCTTATATAAAATGTATATAAGTGGGCGGTACATGTTTTGTGACATCACAATGCACATTTCTTTTTTACTTTAATAACTCTTTGATTTGCTGAAATGCCTTGAATGAATGGATAATATCTACCATTACAGTTCACAGGATTCTAGACTGTGAATGGATGTAATGGATGTAAATTCTAAAGTAGTTACACTTTCACTTATGTAGGAAATTGTACAACTCAAATAGATCCATTGAAATAAATTCCTTTCTGGGCAAAAGTAGAGCACTTTTACAATATGTGCCATTTTCATAACTGCCAAGTCTTTTATATATACCGTATTTATCGGCGTATAACACGCACTTTTTCCCCCCTGAAAATAGGGGGCAAATGATGTATGCGTGTTATACGCCGATATAATGTTAAGAAGCCTTCGGTGAATGCTGCTGGGATCGGGGATCAAGGACACAAATGAAAGAAGGGGAGGGAGGAAGCAACCGAAGCCTGTCCTTCTCTCTGGGTCAGCTCTCTCTCGCTCCTCCACCAGCACAGGAAGAAACTGCTTCAAAGAAGCGGGGGGGGGGGGGCTTTTCCTGTCGCCTCTCCCCCACCCCCACCCCGTCCGCCCGCCCGCCCGCCCGCAGTGCTCCGTTCTGCCTGCCTGCCTGCCTTCGTTAATGGTTGAATCGGAACAGCTTCGGCTGAGTAAAAGAGGCGAATAGTTATTATTCTCAGCCGAAGCTGCTCCCAAACAACCAGAAACTAAGGCAGGCAGGCAGAATTTTTTTAATTTTTTTTCCTGAAATTTCCCCCTTAAAATGAAGATGCGTGTTATACGCCTGTGCGTGTTATACGCCGATAAATACGGTATATATATTTTACTACCCCAAGTTAATCATCTACCTCCCTTTCTTCTTAACTGAAATTTAGGAAGATATGTCTCTACAGAAGAGATAGCTTTGCCAGCAGATATTGTCTAATTCTATCTAAAAAGTATACAACTAATACACATGTTAACAGCTAATAATATTTTTGAACTTAAATAAAAGTGAGTCTAAATTCTGGTTTCTTTGTAATTAGTTATACTTTTGTTCATATGGCACATTTATAAATACTGTATATAAATTTTTCATAAGTGTTATGTACCCAGAACCAGGCAGGATTCACAGACCTAGTTGAACCATAAAGACTTCCTTAAAAAAATCTCACCTGTCTGAAATTTAATACATTTTATCTGTAGAGAAGTAGTAGGTTAGCCAGTAAATGTAACTTCATTCTGCTAAAAATCCCTCACAATTTTATAGATACTTTACTTCTTCAGAGAAAAGTTTTTTTTAAAAAATAAGTCTGTTGTTTTCCTGTTGTAGATTACAAATGGCAAAAATCTAATTTCAAATGGACTCCTGAGTCATAGGAAGTAACCTTCAATTTAGTTTGAGTAAAATTCTGCTTATTCACATTGGTCTGATTGAAATTACCTAGTCAACACAAAGTTTTAACCATAGAATTTGTATGTCTTCATATAAGAGAATTTTCACTTATTACAGTAACTATTAGAATATATTATGGTACTATATCATGTGAAATGTCTTATGAATTTATTCACCTTTATAGCTTACATTTAAATATGTCTTGTGAACATTGTCAAAAGGATTTAAACAGAATCTTGAAAAGGGAGTTTTATTTTCAAGAAAACAATTTCTGAAATATTAGAGTAAAGCAAGCAAGCACCTTTTTATTAATGTAGGACTGTCATTAATGTATTGTAATTACTTGGAATGTGTAGTAGAAACTAGGAACTTAATAGTTAAAACTCATGAATTTCCATGAATTTATTAGATTATTAGTAACTCTATGTCTTAATTCCAATTACTGTTGTGTAATAAAGAAATGGGACTGCTAATATATGTGCATCATATTATAAATATTATGCACATTATTTTTATGATACTAATATTGTTAGTTATCCTGTTATCCTATATTTGTTATTTTGTAATGATTAAAATGAAAATGATGTTATGATTTATGAACTGTTAACTGTTTACAAATAATTCAAGGCGATGAACTTATTCTACACACCTCCCTCCTTCTATTTTCGCAACAACAACCCTGCAAGATGGGTTGATTAAATCACAGAGAGAGTGATTTAAATTTAGTATATACTTTGTTTAAAAACCTATGTTTTAAATTGTTCTCTCTGTAGGGTGTAAAAACAATGCCTTAAGTACCAAATGCATATCTCATTTTCAAAATATTTTTTTCACTTTAAAAAGTGAGAGTAAACATTGTACAAATAATTTTTGGTTTATTAACAGGTAAAATACTATAGACACTTGGCACCTGATCATCTCCTGCAAATATGCCATCGACTTGGACCTCTTCTAGAGCAAGAAATTCCTCAAAGTGTCCCAGGAGTTCAAACACTATTAGGAGCTGGAAGACAGTCTTTGCTCCGTACAAATAAAAGTATGAGTATGCAAAAGGAAAAGTGGCTTGATCATCTTTTTCAGTGTATATTTTTATGCTTATATTTATTTTTTTGTATGTAAATAGGTTGCAAACATGTTGTGTGGAAGGGTTCTGCTCTTGCTGCATTGCATTCTGGGAGACCTCCAGAGTCACCAATAAATTATGGCAGTCCTCCCAGTATAGGTAAGAAAGTTAATACATAATTGTAGAATGTTGGCAATGTAACACTGTATCTGTAATGATAGTTTTTACACTGTAGAGAAATCTTCCTTGATATGCTTCAGATCAGATCGTTCACCCCTGGTTTAAAAAACAACCAGAAATCATGTTTATGTCTGAATTGCAGAATTACTTAATACAGAGATGTACTAAGAGAATACCAATGACTGATATTCCTGCCTTGGCTGAACTGAAGTTAAACTAAGTTTAAATAATCACAGTTCATTAATCGCAGATATTCAGAACTTTAGTTTGTAAAATATTATAAGCAGAATATTTTGATATTTTTTATCTTTGCACATGGCAGAAAAAGTTGGGGGAAAGTATTGCAGTTTGTGCCCTTCTAAATTATGCTTTAGATTATATCTGACTAGTCTCTTGAGTAAGAAAACAGTTTTGTTGCTATTGTTGCTGCTGCATTTATTTGTGGTTTAATAACATAGAATAGGCATATTAATTACATTAGAATTTGCTGTACAATTTGAGTTATAGAGGATTAATTGAAATTTGCTCTTAAAAATTAAAATTACTAGCTAAGATAGTTGACATAAATTTCTTAACATATAAATGTGCCACTGGAGCTATTCTAGTTTAATCAGTTTTGAAGCTGAACAAAACTGTTTAAGATTTTTAAAGAAACAAATTAACAGAATAACAGTGTTGGAAGGGACCTTGAAGGTTTTCTGGTTCAAATCCTTCCTCAAGCAGGAAACCCTAACATTTCAGACAAATGGTTGTCCAATCCCTTCTTAAAAAGCTCCAGTATTGGAGTATCTACAGCATCTGGAGGCAAGTCATTAATTGTTCTGTCAGGAAATTTCTCCTTAGTTTGAAGTTGATTCTCTCCTTTCTCATTAATTTCCATCCATTGCTTTTTGTCTTGCCTTCAAGTGCTTTGGAGAATAGCTTGGGCCCCTTTTCTTTGTGGCAGCCCCTCAGATAATACCCTGTTTCTCATATAATAAGGCCGGGTCTTATATTTTTTGAGCCCTGAAAAAATGGCTAGGCCGTCTTTTCGGGGGTGACTTAATTCCCCCCCTTGCATCTTTGGGTGGGTGGGCGGCGACGGCTTGGATGTTGACCTCGGCGTTGGTGGGGCACTTCGTATCGGGGTCAATGCAGGCAGCACCATATCCAGGTGTGCAACAAAAGTACTTCCTAATGGCAAGCCCCCCCCACCATCCCCCCCCCATTTGCATGTTTTAATATAGGCCTTAATTTGGGGGGAGGGGCTTAATTTCATTTCATGCCTATAAAACATGCTGGGACTTCCTATTGGGGGAGGTCGTATTGTTGGAGAAACAGGGTAGAACACTGCTAACGTGTCACTCCTAGTCCTTCCTTTCATTAAACTAGACATACCCAATTCCTGCAACCGTTCTTTATATGTATGCCCAGTCCCCTAATCATCAACTATTTTCAACTATTTAAAGAATAATTTTCAGGAAATTACCAGAATAGTTTGTCTTCTTATGGTTTTGGTAGTTTTATTTGGTAACTAAAAAAGCTCTGATTTTGCTCTTAAGATATCAACTAAGTATGATTACGATGCTTTGCTAATGACAACAGAATCCAGAATAAATTGAGTGACATTGAAGTTTATATAATAAATAAAAAATTAGATTATGATTTTAATGCAGAGTTTAGATATAATATAAAACATTGCTTTTTGATGCTTTAACCAGGAATGCTTAAGATGAGGCTGAATAGCCCACATGTGCTTGCTTATTAAACAAGGAGTTTTGGCTTGACATGGCATACAAGTATATAAATAAAAATATGTTTATCTCCATTGAACAAAGTCAATTAATTATAGTATTTAGAATGGCATCATAACTAGTAGGAGAAAAAACTGGTAATAATCACTAAATCCTTGACAAATCAAAATGCCATACAGATAGCCCTTAAGTTATGATTTAATTGGGACCACTAAGTGATGCACATAACTGAATCACTAAGCAACAGCAATCTCAGCTTTCCCTGTTTTCCATGTTAACTAAATTCCATCAGCCATTAAATGAGGACCCTCCATTATACAAGACATTCCAGGCTTCGTTGCTTCCTGCCCTGAATCTTGGTGAAGCGAGGGACTGCCTCCTCTGCCTCCTCTTCCACTCTTCTTTTTTCTCCCTCCCCCCAGCTACTTATCTCTCACTATCTCTGCTCTTTTGGCTGCCCCTGCTGCTGTAAATCCGATAGTGTGCCAAGTCCTTGCATTTTAACAATGTGACCACGTAATTTTAAATGATTACAGAACAAATGATGTTTAAGGAAGAAGTACCTGAGTGCTTCTCTGACATTCAAAATTTTAATCAGACTGTCAACTTGTAAAGCATTCCTATTCTTGGCTCGAGGCTCATGATTTAATTAGGGCAATCGCCGGAACCCTGACACAGACAATCTATTGAAATAGTTGCACACATAGTAATCCATGGCAAATTAAGCTGCGGTTTTACTTCCAAACATAAAGTCTAAAAGAGCATAGGCATCTATATAGGCAAAAGTACTTCCTTAAGTTGCCTTGGACTTGATCAAATAGAACAAGAATTTAATTGTTATATTTTAGTTAGATGCATTATTCGTTGAATTATATGCAAAGGTATTTTCACATTGCAGTCTGTTTAGAAATTGAAAAAAATTACTCCAATTTCTCCTTACACGGATGGCTGAGCATCTTTCACTCTAAGGCAGGGGTGTCAAACTCAAGGCCTGCGGGCCGGATCCTGCAGCACTCTGCCGGCTGAAAAACTGCCCCAAAATGGTCTGAAAAATGGCTTCAAAAATGGGCCCAAAATGGGCTGAAAAATGGGCTGAAAAACAGGGCCAAAATGGCCTGGAAAACTGGCTGAAAATGGGACATGCCAACCCCCCACCATCCCGCAGAGGAGAACTGCAAAGCTTATCTGGCCAGTTTGACACCCCTGGTCTAAGGGAAATAATATTGGTCAAATCTGTGATTTTTCAAAGTGCAATAATTTTTCTGTTTGTTTCAATTATTGTTGATACCTATGAAATGGTATATATACCTATGTACAAGTAGTCCTTGACACAGTTCATTTAGTGACTGTTCAAAGTTACAATGGCACTGAAAAAAGTGACTTAAGACCATTTTTCACAGTTATGACCTTTGAAGCATCCCCTTGATCATCATGTGATCAAATGCTTAGCAACTGATTCATGTTTATGATTGTTGAAAGGTCCCGGATTGTAAAATGGGGCAAAACTCACTTAAATGTCTCACATAACAACATAAATTTTGGGCTCAATTGTGGTTGTAAGTTGAGGACTACCTATATTTGTTACATTCTTACAAATTACTGTGTAGCAATATGTCTCATATGACTTGAGAAATCTGGGGGAGATGAGATTCCTTCATGGAATGAAGTTATGATAGATTTTCTTTGTAATCGATTTAAGTAGCTTATTGTAATTGTTCATTACAAACATTATTTATTTACATGAATTATGCATATTAATAACTGCTTAAATCTTTCTTTATTGCTTAACAAATATATTTCTTTTTGAATATATATCTAAGTATATATATATATTTTTTATAGCTGAAACTCTCTTTTCAAGAAAGCTTAATGGAAAATACAGACTGGAACATCTTATTCCAACTGCTGTGTATCAGCACATGAAAATGCATAAACGAATCCTGGGACATTTGTCTTCAGTATATTGTGTAACTTTTGATCGGACTGGTAGACGGATATTCACAGTAAGTGCAGATTCATGAAAATATTTTAAAAATGTATTTCTGCAATGTAAGAGGAATAAAGAGTAATGAGTACAAATTAACATAAAATGAAAGAAAAATAGATGTTTGAGAAACCAACAGAAAAAGGGAGAATGTAATTGATATGAATTAGTAGAATTGAAACATAAATGTAAGGAAGGTTAGGCTTTAGTAAGAACAAAAGGGCTGAAATAGACATTACAATATTTTTATTGACAATTTAAACTTACAAACAATATGTTCTGAAACTAAATGCATTCCTAAAGTCTCCTTTACTTTCCTTAACTAATACTACTACCTTTTCCCCCATACCTGCCTGGGAAGAAACATAATAAGCTTGAACCATTTCCTTTGGATAGTTGAAGTAAATGATGGTGATAATGCTTGAGGTGATTTTAATTTTTACTAGGTATCATTAAGATAGGTAAGCAACATTTGCAATAAAGAACGAACATAACATTGAAAGAAACTGCTATTATACTGCTTTCCAGTGAAAGAATTACAGTCTGTCTAAAAAAACATTTGTGTTATTCTTTGCTTAGCTGTTTTCTACTTATCTGTTAAGAATGTATAAATACTAGTATTGATGGGAAATCTTTGTATTAACATAATGAGAAAAAATATTTCTAGTCCTTGTTGAACAGAGTTTCTGACAATTAATGCAGTATTTGGAATTAACAGTGTTGCTCTTCCTTAATTTTTAGCATGTGTAATAGCTGTAATGAGGCATGTCAGTGTTATATAAATAGCCTTTTCTTTTACTTCCATGTAATTAGATTTAAGAAAATCATAAAACCTCAAGGCATTTAAAGCACTTAAATTCAAACAGCAGACCTTTATCTGTGTGTACTTTTCAACAGACAAAGTGAGAAAAAGGTATCTAGTATATTGGGGAGGATAAAATTATGCTATACAGTATACATGTGGGGGATTTCAAGTAATGTTCCTTATCTAAAGTATTCCTTGGATCCAAGGGAAGATCTCATAGCCTAGCTTACCTTATAAATAAATACATATTGATGATTAATCTGTTTATAGGGGTCTGATGATTGTCTTGTGAAAATCTGGGCAACAGATGATGGACGGTTGCTTGCTACTTTAAGAGGGCATGCAGCGGAAATATCAGACATGGCTGTTAATTATGAGAATACCATGATTGCTTCAGGGAGCTGTGACAAGATGATCAGAGTGTGGTGTCTTCGAACATGTGCTCCTTTGGCTGTTCTACAAGGACACAGTGCATCTATAACATCTCTGCAGGTAAAATAGATGACTAAGATTTAAAATTTTGGAGGCAAAATAACCAATAAGGAAGTAAAACAGTTTATGCTTCATATTCTTTTTCATGGACTGTGCTGTAATTAACTATGCATGCATAGTTTTCACTATTGTGAAAAAATGAAACTAGGAAAAAAGGCAAAGTGTATCTGTGCTTGTACATAAAAAATATTGTGCAGGAGAGAGAAAATAGTTTTCTATTTTCTGTTGCAAATAGTTTTCTGACAGAGCATTGCATTTGGTTGCAACTACCTTTTGTAGAAGTGGTGGTAATGACTTTTTAGTATATTCCAAATCTCTTGATTATTCGTTTCCTTGTTTACTATAAATAAAAAAAAATTAACAGTTTTACTTTTCTTTTCTTACCTTTTTTCTTTTTGCAGTTTTCTCCCCTATGCAGTGGCTCAAAGCGATACTTGTCTTCAACTGGTGCAGATGGCACAATATGTTTTTGGTTGTGGGATGCTGGCACACTTAAAATCAAGTTAGTTTGTATCTTGTATTCCTGTAAGATTACATGTAGTATTTTGAAAAAACTGTTCAAAAGCTGGAAGTATTTTGTTTGCATTCGTCTGTGAACTAAAAATATTTTATCAAAAACAGTAAAATTGGCTTTTTTTCTGTAGAAAAATGGGGCAGATTTCTGAATTACAAGATTTAGGATTTATAAATACAGTAGACCATGCATTGATATTAATAGTTGACATTATATCAACTGTTGTGTCATATTGGTTACTTCTGTGTCTTGGAAAACACACAACTTAATTATTAGTAGGGATGTGGAGCACTTCAGGTATGGCATCCAAAATACACTTTGAAGAATGTGGAGTATGAATGTAGTACCAATCACCAGCACCATAACAGACATAAATCAGCTGCCTTTTCACTCCCACAGGATCAAGTAGATCTGTTGCTGATTAAATCCTAAGCATTTTATAGCCAATTCTTCCTCCTGATAACTTTTTGATGCTCAGCCAACCATTCAGTGTAGCTAAGTGGCAACACCTAGCTAACCTTAGTTGCTCTTGAAAAGGAAATCAGAGTTAGATCTGATTAATATTTGTACAGATGATTTGTCAGAAAAAAGCATAGTCTGTTGATTAGAAAGGGAAATCATATATTCTAGAAAAAAGTATTGTAACTACTTCCATTTTATTTCCAAGAAATATATGTGGATGTGTGCATGAAATCATTAATCAAGCTTAATTCAAAGGAGACTCTTAAGTGGAGAGCCGTTAATTTTATAGCTTAAACTCTTTTCAGTTTCTTGAAAATGGTGCAATTGTGCGGTTTAAAAGGAATGTCAGCTGCATGACCATAGGATTGTTTATATTTACACTTTAGAAATAACTTAGTTGTAAAAAAATACACTTATAGTATGCATTTCTACTCGGGATATATACTAATTATGAAATAGACTTAAGTCAACCATAGTTTAAATTAATGATTTAAATATACTTAAATTAGTATACTTTAGTTTTCCTATAATAGAGCACTGAAAAAGTGGAGTTGGATATATATATTCAGAGATATACAATAAATAGACATCAGAGAATATAAAAAGGCTGCAATCAAATAATGCATACCTGTGGGTTTGCAGTGTATATAGTTCAATAGCTTTTATTATATCCTGCAGAGGTCCATGGGGTTTTAGTTTGACTCAACGGGCATAAATCAAAATGTTAATGCCAGTTGGTGATATTGAACAGAAGTTTCCTTCACTAAAACAGAAAATTTGAAGGAGGTTCTCATTCACTTTCTCTCAGAAATATTTTCTTGTGTTTAATCTTTTAATAATTGTTGTTTAATTTGGTTATCATTTTAAATTGCTTTAATATGTTTAATTATATTTTTTTTTAAAATCTTTGCAGTCCAAGGCCAACAAAGTTTACAGAACGGCCAAGACCTGGAGTTCAAATGATCTGCTCTTCATTTAGTGCTGGTAAATTGCACAATTCTCCTCCCCAAAATTAATTGTATTAGTGGATACAATACAATGATATTTATAATTTGAAAATGCCCACTATGATCTTCTTCCTGCTAATCTCCAAATGGCAATATTCTTAACTGATGCGTATACACTTTACCTGCATATTTGATACATTTCTATCCTGCTTTTATTTGAACAGCTCAAGGTGACTTATATATAGTCCTTCCACAGTTTTTCCACAACAATCCTATTTGGTAGGTTGTTTGACCAAGAGAAAGGCCCACCCATTGAGTTTTCACTTTACCTTCTGCAATATGCTGGTTCTCAAATAGATGGTGCCTATGAAAGTTTAGAAATAATCATGTAATAGTTTCTGAGTCGATCTTGCTATCTTGAATTCTAATACTTAGCTGAAAAACCTGTTGTGTAATAAAAATAATTTTAGTCATGTTCTGTTTCTTCATGGGAGAAGCATCCTGGAATAAATTTAGGGAAGCAGATGTATGATTGTAGTAGAGAGTTAGTGTGATATACTGCTTGTTTGCAGTTGAATGGAACTAATATTAAACACATGGTATAAGATTATAGTACTATAGTAAATCTTAGCAAATTGATAGTGATATTTCTTTCATGTTTGCTTTTTTTTAGGTGGAATGTTTCTGGCCACCGGAAGTACAGATCATATCATTAGGGTTTATTTCTTTGGATCAGGTCAGCCAGAGAAGATATCAGAGTTGGAGTTTCATACTGTAAATACCTTCTCTAAATAGTTTAACTCTTTGTTTGAAGTAAATTAATAATCTATAATCACGATGTTAATTTTGTTCTTGTTCACACAGGACAAAGTGGACAGCATTCAGTTTTCTAATACCAGTAATCGGTAAGCAAATTACTTGTATATTAATCTCATATATTTTCCCACTACATTTATGAAAACTGTCCTGTTACATAGTTGTTAAGATTCAACATGCTAGTTTAATTATCAAGTTTAATTTACCTAATTAGACATACCTTGAGCAATTGTTTGGATTTTGCATTCTGTAACGTAGTTTATATTATATAGAACTTATTTCCCATTCAATGTACATGCTATTGTGCTTTAATTAATATTTGATAGTTTCAATGTCTGATTTTCGCTGAATTACTGAAGTTGCCTAAGGTTTGTTTATGAAAAAGATACTTATATATACACATTTCACAACAAACTTAGTTTCTGAAAGGTCTTGTAAGAAAGCACTCTTTAATTCAGTTGAAACTTTCTTTGTATTGCATGGATAGGTAGGATTGTGCTAAGCTTGAAAAGGTGCTTTGATTTGAAAAAGCTTCAATAAAAACATACTGTTAAAGCAGAAACCTGTTTTGAAGTCATACATCAAATCGGGTAGCTACCAAATGATGTGAAGATTTGAGATCTTCAGTACACCAGGAGTTGTAATAGGCACATAATGCATTGTAACATCATTTCTTTATGTAAAGGATGCCAAGGGGATTTGAATGATTTGATGAGTTTTATCACCTTGTTAAACCCTATTTTGGTCTTCATTCAATTTTTCAGCTTACAACTTCTTTTTGGTGGCCTATTACAGATTCTAATTTTGTTATCTTGTGCTAATGGAATATTACACAGTTGGGAATTTAATTTAGCCCTCACGCTGAATATGGGTTAAAGGCTGTTCAATCTGGTCCATGCTATTGGATGAAGCCTGACTTAAATATTTGGCATGATTTGGCAAGGTTTGTGTGTTTTGGCAAGGAGGAAATGGATACTGGAGTAATCTCATCAAGCTTGCTTGAATGTTTACTCTTTGTTTTTTAAGATTAGGGATAACAAGGTTGTGAATGCTACTTTCTCTTTGTCACCTTCGGTCTCTTTGGATTACCTATCTTGAGATATTTTCATCATGCCATTTTAGAATATTACCATTGAGTTATTATTACATATATTAAGTATAGCAGTGATGAAGAGATTCCCTCCCTCCCAAGAGAATACTTGCCAAGCCAACTATCCCGAGTTAGTAATACAGATAGTCCTTTACTTATGACCACAATTGAGCCAAAAATTTCTAGTGAGACATTTGTTAAGTAAGTTATCCTCCATTTTATGATTTTTCTTGCCACAGTTGCCAAGTAAATCACTGCAGTTAAGTTAGTAACATGGTTGTTAAGTGAATCTGGCTTCCCCGTTGGCTTTGCTAGCCAGAAGGTTGCAAAAGGGGATCACATGACCCCAGGACACCACAACTCCATAAATATGAATCAGTTGCTGAGTGTCTGAATTTTGATCACATTATCATGGGATGCTGCAATGGTCGTAAGTTTAAAAAATGGTCATAAGTCACTTTTTTCAATAAGGTTGTAACTTTGAATAATCACTAAATGGACTGTGGTAAGTCAAAGACTACCTGTAATAGCCTAGCTTCTTATCCAATAGTGTCAAGTCTCTAAAGTCTCTAACACTATTCCAGAAAAGCAAGATAATAGTCATTATTCGCTCTCATGTCTTGCGGTCACTCTCTCAGACCAACTCATCTTGACTGGGTTGTTATTGTGACAAAAATAGGAGGAAGAAAGAGTTATTTAAGTTATTTTTGAAAAAAAAAAAGGCGGGAAATTAAATGAATGCTACTGCTACAAATCAAGTGGAAAAGATTTTTTTTCACATTGTTTTTGAAAAAGTTTGCTTTTAATTTGGAATCGGATATTTTCTGCATTGTTTCAGCACAATTTAAATTCTTTGCTGTACAATTTCCAGACAATTTATCTTAGAAGAAGTTAGGGAATGTTTTAAGTAGAAGGATTAGATACTTGAATAAATAATAATACCTTTGACAATAATTTCAAGATCACCAAACACCAGACAATCAGTCAGTCAATAGGCAAAGAGTATTTCCCTATCAGCATTTCACAGCTTTAAAATGTTTCGTGTGTTACTTTCTCATTTCCAAAACCAAAATAATACTGGACATGCTTTCTAGTGAAGTGTTTAATAATAGTGTAGGTTTATTTGGAGCAGGCAGCCTTTCAAGAACTTTGGTATCAAAGCCAAGATGTGAAAAGCTGCTGAGGGTTTTGTGGGCCAACACCTGCACTTTGAAATAGAAAGAAATGATTAAGAATTGATCTTGAATTTTGTTACTGGTAATTTTTCTGAACTAGCAACTGTTTCCCTGTAATTACTACTTATAAACTAATTTTAAAAACTTGTAGCTGCTGTCATTTAGGTAATTACCATATGTAGTTACTATGTATTACTATAGGTCATATCCATACCAATTTTATAAATTATATATTAAAAATAAAAAAAACTATAATACAGGTAGTCCTCAACTTACGACCACAATTGAGCCCAAAATTTATGTTGCTCAGTGAGAAATTTGTTAAGTGAGTTTTGCTCCATTTTATGACTTTTTTTTGCCACATTTGTTAAGCGAATCACTGCAGTTGTTATCTTAGTAACATGGTTGTTAAGTGGATCTGGTTCCCCATTGGCTTTGCTTGTCAAGGTTGCAGAAGATGATCCCATGACCCCAGGATGCCGCAACCGTCATACAATTGTTAAGTATCCAAATGTAAATCAAGTGACATGGGGATGCTGCAATGGTCGTAAGAATGAAAAATGGTCATAAGTCACTTTTTTCAGTGCCGTTTTAGCTTGGACTAGTCATTAAGTGGACTGTTGTAAGTCAAGGACTACCTGTACTCAGTTGCCTTTTATGTTTCTGAATTGTTTTCTCCACAGACTCACTGACTAATTTCCTTGTCTGTATTACTTGCTTTGATTTCCTGTGTTTCTTTCAGGAGTTTCATTAGCCAGTGCCTTTTATTTTGGATATGCTTGTGTTTTAATCCCATTCATTTGGTTCCTAAAATGCATGAACCTGCCTAATTTTGGATTTCTATGATCAGTTCTAAATGTTTTTATAGGAAAACATATGATGTATAATGATACATTTTCTCTTATTTTTAGATTTGTGAGTGGAAGTCGTGATGGAACAGCACGTATCTGGATGTTCAAGAGAAGGGAATGGAAAAGCATTTTACTGGATATGGCTACCCGTCCCTCAGGGTAAATTATTTTTGTATTTACCTGTTTTCTGTTATTGATGTTAAGGTAGAAATGATTTTTTGGTAAGGAAACAAGCTAGGACTATTTCCAAGATTTCTTTCAATTTTGAGTTTGTGGTGGTGCAGTGAATTCCTGACTCTTAGAAAACAAGGTGGTTTTCTTGAAAGCTTGATGGGTGAGATGGAGAGATAAGTAGATGAGATTTTTCAAGATTTAATAGTTTTGTTCTACTTCTAGAATCATAGTTCCCTTGCTGTCATTTCAAGAAGAAAGGAACTAGTAAGGACCCAATATGAGAGAGCTTTTAGTTATGGGTGATTCAGTTATCAGTAACACAGAGATGGGTTTACTATGGTTCTGTCAATTTCATGGTGATGTGAAAAATACAGATAAACACATACTGTTTAGATACACTGCTGCATAAAGATGGGTAGGAGGCAAAAGTTCTGTTCCACAAAGGCATTGAGGACCCTGGAAGATATAGTTGACCAGTTCTCAAAGCCATGTTTGGCCTGAAACCCAGCAGATTGAATTCCAAACCTGCCAAGCGCTCCAGTTCCTTACATAGGGCATAGACAGACACGGGTGTGAACAGATAGAAAAGACACTGGTGCCAATTGTGTGGAAGTGTGGGGTGGGGATAAATTGAACCTGAATTGAAAAAGAACCAGAGTGTTGATACAGCTTGGGATGTGTGAAGTGGGGGAATTCAGAGTGTTCCTCTGAGGAAGAAGCCTGAGAAAATTAGGCATTTGGAAATAGGGAAAAATAGGAATAGACAAAAGCATATTGGTGCTTGATGGGTTCCTTTGATTGGAGCTATACATTGCATATTGGATCCTGAATATATGATTTAAAAAAAACCTAAAAGAATTTTCAACATATACATCTAGTTTAAGAATGTTCAGTTTTTGACTTCCGGTTTGAGCTTCTTCGGCGACAGACCGAAACCGCGACTCTGCGCGGTTTCGATCCATGCTCGCTGCTGGAGCACCCCGAGCTGGCTGGTTTCGGGGCTAAGCCACCCCGTAGAGGTGGTGAAGAGGGGGGAGACTGCCAGCAGGGTCGAGGAGAGTCACATCTCTCCTCCCCAGCTGGCCATTACCCCCTTTCCTGAAGGCGGTTGCAGTGGTGGTCAGAAATGGCCACCTTAAAGAAGAACTCAACCGGAAAAGAATGTGCAGGAGGGAGATAAGAAGAGAAAGTTTTGGCTGACTGGGTCGAATTGAAAAAGCAACAATATAAGGTACCCTGGAATTTGAATTATAAAGAATAACATTGCTCCCAAAGAAGACTTTGAAGCAGTGAATGAGAGAGGGAAGGGAAAAGGATTTGGGTTTTTTCCTTTTCTTCCCTATATTGACAACTAAGAGATTTAAGCAAAAAATTGGCAAAAATCCACTTTGACATTAACAGGCATTTAAGCTGAAAATAAAATGTCAAAGGGACAATAAAAGATTTCTGGATTCTCAAAAACTTTTAAAAGAAGGAAAAAAAACAAAGGGTGTGGGATCTGGAAAAACAGAGGAGACCACCTGGAAGTGAAGGAATTAACAGTGAAACTTTAACAAGATTCCTAAAAGATACATTTTAACTGAAACTGTGTAACAAGATAATAGAACCCCAGGAAGGAAAGTGGAAAAAAGAAGCAAGAAGAAACAGCTTTGGATTATTTGGATTACTTGGTGATTTTTGGCTATTGGATCTAAAGGACTAAAATTAATTGGGTGGTTGTTTGAAAGTTTTTAAAATGGTATCACTCTTGGAAGAATTGAGAATGGAACTTAAAAAACAGAAAGAAGATGCACAAAGAAGGAAGAGGTTCTTTTGGCTTCGTATTTCAATTTTTAGAAATGGAGATCCTGAACTGTGAGAAACAACAAGAAATGCCTGTTGAACAAGGAGGGCGGGACAAAGAAGAAGCCATCTTCAATGACCAAGTATTTCTATGCAGGGAAAAGAAAGGAAAGGGGGGGAAGAGAGTGAAAAATAAGATTTGGAAAAACAACCCCCAAAAAGAATAGTTTGAACAATAATTACAACATTAGGAAGAAACAGAAAAGAGGATTACAGAAGAGAGAACCAGAATTAGAGAGAGAAGGGATCAAAAAGGGAAGGGAGAAGGAGAGGGAGAAGAGGGAAAGGAAAAGAAATTATAAAGGACAGAAACAGGATATAGAGAAACAGGGAAAATGTACAAGGATTAAGGGTGCAAGCCTCTTTAGAAGACACAGAGATAATGAATGAAAATTTAATCGAAAGGGGGATTCTGCAAGGGTACATAAGATAGTATTGCTATATTAGAAATAGAAATGAACTTTGAAAATATGAAACAAGTGTGATTAAAATGATAGATAAAATACTCATTGTAATGTAATGGAATGTTTAATAAATAAATGAAATAAAGAGAATGAGAGAATGAAATTAGGAAAGGAGGGGAACATTTTAATTATTATTAATGTGTTATAAAAATTTAAGTGAAGAGGAATATGAAAGAAATATGAAAAAATTATGGAAATATTAGAAGTGTTCCTAGAAGTATGATATCCTATTGAAAAGAAATGTTAAAGATGTTAAAGATTATAACTAACATTAATGATAGAGCTGGGTTGGAAGTATTTTATTTATTATTGTTATACATATACTTTCTCTTTAAGAACTTAGTGCGTATTTTAAGAATGTACCAAGCAGAATTCAACTGGAAGTTATGTGTTATATTGAATGTTATAATTGTAAAGGCATAAATTGAAGTTTAAGAGTTGAATGGATTAAAATTAAAAGATGCAAAGGTGTCATACTCCAATCAGTAACTACAGGGGAAAATTTTGTTTAATGAGAAAAGAAAATATGAAATTGAAACAGGACAGACAAAAGTATAAATATAATGACTAGAAAGATATTGAAACTTAGAAAAAGATATATATAATTGAATTTAGAAAGGAATGAGATAATTAAAAGCAAGATTGGGAAAATTAAGGGAAGGGAAAGATTATTGAGAAAATGTTAAAATAGTAATAAGATAAATAAGATATGGAATAGAACACAAAGATGAATATGGAATTGAATTTGTGTTTGTATGGAGAAGTGATAACTCGGGACCATGCTATTCTCCAAAAAGAAATTTTACTTGTATTACGTTTTGTGAAAACCCAAATAAAAATTTTATTAAAAAAAAAAGAATGTTCAGTTTGTCTGTTTCTTTGTTTTACATTGGGGTGAAAGGAAATATTTTTCAAGCTCTTTCATGCACATTTCTAAACTAAATATGAACAAGTTAAAATTTAAATCCTGAACTAAAAATATACGTATCATACAGTTGAGTTTTATATAGTATACAGTTGAGTTTTCCCCCCAAATCCAGAACTTGAAGTCTTAAACCATTTTCTTGAAAGTTTTATAAAACTTGATCAAAAGTAAGGGATTTAGACCTGATTTCGCCAAACATATCTAACATAAATGTTTCTGCTACCCCAAAATTGTAATAATGCTACAAGCCTGAAAGTAGGCATGTAGCAGTCAAACAAATAATTTGGAAACTGTTTTTCTGAACTCTCACTGAGTCAAAGCCCCTGAAGGTGACCACAACCAGAAGTAAGATTTAGGAAACAATTTTTTTATCTTTGAAATACATCAAAAACTGATATACATCATCCTCTTATCTTAGTTTTAAAAAACCCAAAGCATCATTGCTTTCTGTTAAGATAATTCCTGCCCAGTTTCTAAATAGGTATTAAGTTTATGAAGGAAATTTGATACCTTTGAGGGATTCTAAGTACAGGATTAACTACTGGTAATCCTCAAATTATGACCGCATGAACCCAATACTTCTATCGCTAAGCAAGGCAGTTATTAAATAAGTTTTACTAGATTTTATGATGTTTTGCACAGTTATTAAATGAATCTTTAAGCAAATCTTGCTTCCCTTGTTGACTTTGCTTGTTGGAAGCTGGTTGAGAAGGTTACATATGCTGATCTCATGACTATGACAATGCAACTGTCATAAATACATGCCAATTGCGAAGTGCCTAAATTTTGATCCTATGACTGGGAATGGGGTGTTTCAATGGTCATAAGTATAAAAACCAGTTGTGTCACCTTTTTCAGTGCTATATTAACTTTGAAGTTACTATACAAATGGTTGCAAGTTGAGGACTACCTGTAATCAGATCTACTGTTTGATGAATACTGTTAATGAACATTGCAAATACAATACAAAGGTCTTTAAATAAAAACATGTCTAATTATGTAAGGATTAGAACATGGATTTGGGGGCTGTGGTCTCTCCGGTTAATGGTATACTGTGATTAGAGTTTTACTCTTTCTTGCTCCTCTGAGGAGGGATAACTAATGAAAGTAGTATATTTTTTTATTCATGGAACCTACCCTTCTACAGTACCTCTATGAATGAATAAAAGTGCTAGTCTTGTCTCCATTTGCAATCTCTTGAGTAATAGGGTACAATAATTACAAATTGTAAGTCACATCAGCAGGAAACTAAACTGCTTCCCTACTTTGGCCCATATGAACCAGTGGGACTTGCATATTTATGGTGATTTTCCTGTCCAGTAAACTCTTATATCTCATTCCTAATATTAATAGGCTTGTTATAGTCATCAACTAAAACTTTTAAAATCTTTAGATATATTTTGGAAATTTTCTCATTGTTATAATGCTTCTATTTTCTGTTAATTCTTCATTGTAGACAAACCCTACAAGGAGTAGAAGACAAAATTACAAAATTAAAAGTCACTATGGTGGCATGGGACCGTCATGACAACTCTGTTATTACTGCAGTTAACAACATGACTTTGAAAGTTTGGAATTCCTTCACTGGTCAACTTACTCATGTTTTATTGGTAATGAAACAATAGGAGGAATTACTTTCTGGAAATAGCTTTGTCTTCATACAATATTGATAATTAGTTAAAAATGAGGTGTTTTGGTTGTAGACTTAGTATAGAATTTAAATTTCAAAATATTATATAGTAAAAAAAACCAACACATTCTTTTGTTTTTTGCATGAGTTTTTGGAGTTCAAACAGTTATTCTGTTTATGCATAAAATAAACGTTTTTAGATATTGTATATATTTAGCTTATTGTGTTCAAATAAACATCTTAATGTACACTGTTTGATTCTTTTTGGTTGTTCTTGCCAGCAGGAGTAATTAAATGAATTAGGAAACCTTGCAATGGATGAGAATTAGGATCCTTAGACTGGAGAACTGGTTTAAAACTCTGTCCTTTCACTAGAGAAACTGGCTAGAGATTGTGGTTTACATTATTATTAAACTATTGAGATTTCCTATTTGTTTAGACATTCCTACTGGCAGGGGAACCAAGTTGGAATAACTGTACAACAGGTTATAGAGGAGGGGATTCAAAGAACATTCACTATTAGAAACCCTACTATTTAATTATATTCTAGTAGTTCCTACAGCTGAAGTTCCTACAGTTCTTGCTGAACAGCATTTTGTTTTTTAAAATTTGTATATTGCAAATAGCAAAATTTGACAATTGATAATTTTCTTCTATTCTTCTATACTGCATTATCCTTTCTTTGTTGATTGGCTGTCTGGTTACTTTTTGATTTAGTAAATTGGTTCAATGTCTTCAACTGAACTTTATTTCTAACTTATTATTCTAGGGTCATGAAGATGAAGTATTTGTACTTGAAAGTCACCCCTTTGATCCCAGGGTTCTGTTCTCTGCTGGTCATGATGGAAATGTTATAGTGTGGGATTTGGCAAAGGGAACAAAAATTCGCTCTTACTTCAATATGGTAAATATATTGTTTGTATTAACGTCTTGCAAAAGTTTGTTCTATCTGTTATTAAGCTAATGCAAAATGATAGAGTTGTATAGTAAATGTTTAATAATTCATAGTAAGTAATTTAAAAAGTAAATTTTTACTTTAAATATTTTGAATAGGTGATTAAACATCTCAAATTATTAATAATAGTAATCCCAATAATAAAATTTAATATTGCTCCTCTTGGGAGCTCCTGTTTATCACTTGGGTAATAAGATACATATGTGTAGAACAGCTAGCTCTAATTTTGTGCTCTCCCAAAATCGCCAGAATATCTGGAATGTGCAGAAGGAGGAATGATATGTTTTTTAGTCATAGTATTAGTTGTGACAGCCCATTCTGTTATGTATACTTAACCCCCAGACTGTTCTGATATAATTTATAGCTTGGATTAAATTTGAACAACGTAAAGACACTACGGGCCTTCAGAAAGAAATTGGGAAAAAATTTGTGAAGCATTCCCTCATCCCTGCCCAGTAGGTGATGAGGAGGAGCTTCATAGTTTTACTCATTCGGTGTGAAGACCTGAATGGAAGTGTCTTCATTCAAGTTGTACATCAATCAGTGATGTTTATAATTAATCCTAACTATAAGCATAACCAAAATACAATATATAATCGGAAAAGTACAGTTTAATACTTCACAACAACTTTGGCTCTTCAATTGTCTTAGAAATGTGAATAGTTTGGAACAGAGGTATTGTAGAAATTGGATTCAAAGCAAGCATGTATTTTCCTGATCCCTTGCAGCTTCCTTATAAGTTCAGGAAAAGATGCAGTTCTTTGAAAGGGTTATTGACAGATACTGGGTCTGGTATGAGGGTGCCCATTCCAGAATAATAGCATCTTTGTTTGCTTTAGATCCAAAGACTTTACACCTCTATTTGATAGCCATGGTTTAGGTGGATCCAGGAAATTATAAATTGTTTAGGTTTACTGTATTAACCATTGCTTAGTCAAAGAATAAAGCAAATTAGCTCAACGTACACACAAAAAATAGTTCGTGCTGTGGCTTATTAAGCTGAGATACAATAAACAAAAATAGTCATGTTCTATTTGTCTAGAACAATTTTATTTCTAACAGTTTTAATCCAGGCAACTAAAGAATCAGAACTATGTGTCCCCTTTCTAGTTTGTATATATACTGCTTGTATCTTGATGACTTCCATATTTAAAAGAGTGTTGAAATGTTATAATTTTAAACTGTCCTTGAATAATACGCTATCTACTAATTCAGAGCAAATGGGTTTTTGTTAATCAAGCAGAAGCTTCTGGTACACAAGGTAATTCCTTATCTCACTATTACTGACAAAATAGTTTGCATTTTTCACTTTTTTGTTTTTTTGTTGAGAAATATATACACATGAATAGGCAAAATAAAATTATGTTTTTAATCGTAGGATTTTGCTTTTATAGATGAGGGTATTATCATAATTTTGATGTAAATGTAGCAGACAGCAGTACAATTTGTTTTAGACATGAACTATTCAATGTTTTTGATTGCTAATCGGTACTATTAGCACATTAATAATTGTAAGAAATTGCTTGACCTTAAGGCTGTACTCCTATTTAAATTCCACATAAAGCGAAGGCCTATTGCATTAAATATTTATGGTAAAGATGTCCTACTGAGTAGCTTGTATCCCAATGACTCAAACAGATCAAATAGACAAACAGATAATCAGAGTTGGAAGGGACCTTGTAAGTCATCTAGTCCAACCCCCCGCCCAAGCGGGAGACCCTACACCATTTCTGACAAATGGCAGTCCAATCTCTTCTTGAAAGTCTCAAGTGATGGCGCTCCCACAACTTCCAAGGGCAGTTGATTGTTGATTGGTTGATTGTTCTCACTGTTATAAAGTTTCTCCTTATTTCCAGGTTAAATCTCTCCTTGTTCAGTTTCCATCCATTATTCCTTGTCTGGCCTACAGGCACTTTAGAAAATAGCTTGACCCCTTCCTCCCTGTGGCAGCCCCTCAAATATTGGAAGACTGCTATCATGTCTCTCCTGGTCCTTCTCTTCACTAGACTAGCCAAGCCCAGTTCCTGCAACTGTTCATTGTATGTTTTAGTCTCCAGTCCCCTAATCATCCTGGTTGCTCTTCTCTGCACTTTTTCTAGAGTCTCAACGTCTTTTTTATAATGTGGTGAACAAATCTGGATGCAGTACTCTAGGTGTGGTCTTACTAAGGCTTTATAGAGTGGTATTAGTACTTCCCTTGATCTTGATTGTATCCCTGTGTTAATACAACTTAGGATTGCATTAGCTTTTTTGGCTGCTGCTGCACACTGTTGGCTCATATTTAGCTGGTTGTCCACTAAGACTCCAAGATACCTCTCACAGTTACTGCTATTGAGCCTGGTTTCACCCAGTCTGTATGTGTACTTTTGGTTTTTCTTGCCTAAGTGTAGGACTTTACTTTTCTCTACATTGAATTTCATTGTGTTAGATACGGCCCAGTGTTCTAGTCTGTCAAGATCCATCTGGATCTTGAGCCTATCTTCTTGGATGTTAGCTATTCCTGCCAGCTTAGTATCATCTGCAAATTTGGTAAGTTCCCCTTCTATTCCCTCATCTAAGTCGTTAATGAAGATATTGAAGAGTACTGGGCCTAAGACGGAACCTTGTGGCACCCCACTGCTTACTTCCCTCCATGTAGACTTAGACCCATTAAGGACTACTCGTTGAGGACGGTTTGCCAGCCAGTTGCGAGTCCATCTAGTGGTGGTGCTATCTATTCCACTTTTTTTCTAGCTTACTAAGAAGTAGGTTGTGGTCTACTTTGTGGAATGCCTTGCTGAAATCTAAATATATTATGTCCATTGTATTTTGCTGGTCTACTAATTTAGTCACTGTGCTGAAGAATGAAATAAGATTGGTTTGGCATGATCTGTTTTTAACAAACCCATGCTGACTGCTAGTTATTACTTTACTTGTTTCTAGATGTTGGCAGATCTGTTTTTTTATTATCTTTTCCAGTATCTTTCCAGGTATTGATGTTAGGCTGATTGGTCTATAGTTTCCTGGGTCTGTTTTTTTCCCCTTTTTTGAAGATGGGAACCACATCAGTTCTTTTCCAGTCCTCTGGTAGTTCCCTGGTGCTCCAGGATTTTTGAAAGATATGGTGCAGTAGTTCTGAGATGACCTCTGCCAGCTCCTTTAAAACTCTGGGATGTAATCCATCAGGCCCCAGCGATTTGTTTTCATCAAGATCAGACAGGTGTTCTCTTACTATTTTTTTTGCTTATTTTAACTTTTATTTCTGGTCTGTCTTTTACAGTTACGCTTTTGGTGGGTTGAGATATAGTTTCTTTTTGTGTGAAGACGGATGCAAAGAATGAGTTAAGCAGTTCTGCTTTCTCTCTGTTGCCTGTTACTTCCTTGCCATCTTCTCTTTTTAGTGGACAGACTGTTTCCTTGATTTTTTTCTTGTTATTTATATGTTGGAAGAAACTTTTTTTTATTATCTTTGACTTTTGTTGCAAGTCTTTGTTCGTTCTGAGCCTTTGCTATCCTGACTTCGTCTTTGCAGATTCTGGTTATCTGCTGATATTCTGCCTTAGTTGTATGTCCTTCTTTCCATTTTTTGTACTTGTCCTTTTTTTCTTTCAATTTGCCAGAGAGATCTTTGTGCAGCCATGCTGGTTTTTTCTTGGATTTCTTGTTTTTCTTTCTCAGTGGTATTGTGCTGGTCTGGGCTTCTATGATCATACTTTTTAGACTTTCCCAAGATTCTTGAGTTCTTTTCCCCTTTATGATTTTCATCCATGGAATCTTTCCCAAGTTCTCTCTGGGTTTATTGAAATCCAGCTCTTTTAAAATCCAAGACTCTGGTGTCATTATGTTCTGTTGCTTGTGTTTGTGTTATGTTGAATTCTAGTATGACATGGTCACTCTCACCCAAGGTTCCTGCAGTTTCAACTCCCTCTATCACCTTTTCTCTGTTTGTAAGAATTAAGTCCAGTATGGTTGTTCCTCTAGTTTCACCCTCTACCTTTTGGACAACAAAGTTGTCAGCTAGGTTGGTTAGGAACTTATTTGATTTCTCACGGTGCAGAATTAGTTTTCCAATTGATATCAGGATAATTGAAATCTCCTATTACTATTGTTGTGTGTTTCCTGCATATGTTTGTTAGTTGGCTGGCAAAAAGGACATCTATATTTTCTGCTTGATTGGGTGGCCTATAATATACACCTATGGCCATGTCATTCTTTTTTTCTTTTATATTGACCCATATGCATTCTAGGAGGTTTTCATCTTTGGTTTCATTCATTTCTGTAGCAATATAGTGGTCCTTTACATACAGTGCAACTCCACCTCCTCTTTTATGGGGTCTGTTTTTTTCGAATAGTTTGTATCCTTCTATCAGTATGTTCCAGTCATGGGTTTCATCCCACCAAGTTTCTGTTATTCCAACTATATCATATTTACCTTCATGTATTCATAGTTCGAATTCACCCTGTTTGTTCCCCAGACTTTGTGAATTTGTATATAGGCACTTGAGATCTTTATGTCTGACACTGTGTTTACTGTCTACATAACCTGTGTTGTGCCTGCCTGCCCCTACTTTCTTGCCACCTGTTTGATTAGTGCACATGGTATGGCTCTCACTATTAAATGCTTGGTTTTGGTTGGCATCAAGTTTGGTAATCTTACCTGCACAAACATCTATTTTGCATGCACTGGTATCCTTATTAGTTTTAGGTTTCTGGGGACAGAAATGTTCTGAATCCATTAATTTTCTGTCCCCGCTGTTCAGTTTAAATGTTTATCCAGGAAATCTGTGAATTTAATGCCAAGTAACTCAGTCCCTTTCTTTGATGGATGCAAACCATCTCTTTTGTACAGTTTTTCATTGGACCAGCTGCAGACATCATGGATAATAAAACCAAAGCCTTCCCTTTTACACCACTCCTTTAGCCACATATTAAACTCTGCTACACGCTGCCCTCTCCCTTTTTGTTCCTTG